AGGTTTATGTACATGTGCACTTTCGTTCCTGAAGAGAAGAACAGTTTTAATTAATATTTACTTGTTTTGATTTATGTATCATTCTAACTCGAAATCGTGTTTGTCTATCAATGCTGACATATAAATTCCAACAGAATTTTCCTAGATAATCATATTGACAATGAACTGTGTGGGTTCAAAAGTGTCTTACTGTGTCAAATCCCTATCAGCCTGCTCTGCAGCTTCCTTCTCTCTAGCTTCATTTTCCAAATCTTCCAGCAACTACAGACAAAAGTAAGCATGTGACAAAGCCGAAATGCAGAAAAACATGGCAGATGCATTAATTAATTTCACTCTCACCTGGTGCTGAGCTAAGGCTTCAACTTGCTGCCTGTAGGCCTCGGTTGCAAAATCAGCATCCCATTCTGCAAATAGCATTAACATCTCATGTGAGCTAAAAACCAGCCTTTGAATTAACATTATACATAGTTACATTATTGGAAAGATTCGTTGTCAGTGAAGTAGTAATAGGAGTTAAATGATTGAGTGGATCAGTAAAATAGGATACACTTACTCTCATAAACAAGAGGCTCTTCACCATCATCAATCTCAGCTTCCATTTCCTCCTTGTACTTCTCAATGTGGTCAAGCTCCCATTCTTTCTCTTCAAATCCGGCTTCATTTTCCATTGCAGCCTCAATAATGATGGGGTCCCAAAGCTCTAAATATCTAATCGCATATCTATCAATCGGACGTAGCTGATTTTCAAAAGACGAGATAGCTTGTCCAGCAGCGGCGGCTGCTGCAGCCATTTGCTTTACATCATCTAGTACATCAGTATCTTCTTCTTGACTTGAAATAGCAATGACAGCTTTCTCATTCATGGTATCAGTATGTAATAGTGAAATTTCTTCTCTAGTCAACCCTGCTGCAACTACACCTTGATCAGCTGGTTCATCAGCCTTTATGTCATCTTCATTTACTAGCTCATCGTCTTCGGGTCTCTCTACAGGTTCTTCTGTAAATTCTTGATTGTCCACAGCTTCTTCTTGTTCTACTCTTTTGAGAGCCATATAATCTGCTTCATCTTCTGCGTGCTTTAAAGCAGCCTCAACATCTGCGTTTGACAGAGGTATCTCCGCCCCGCAATTTTTGCTTTTTTCTTTTTCATCCTTTGTTGTCAGATCCTTATGTCCAGAGAACAATTCCATGGGATCGAGCTTCTTGAAAAACTCAGTGTTATACTCACCATTTTGAATCACTAAGTTATCAAGCGCACGCTTCTGGTTTGCTTTCTTCAATATATTCTCTTCAATGGTGCTCTCACTTATCAACCGATAAATATGCACTTCACGTGTTTGACCTATCCTGTGGCAGCGATCTTGAGCTTGTTGATCCATGGCGGGATTCCAGTCACTGTCATAGAATATAACTGTGTCTGCACCCACAAGGTTAATGCCAACACCCCCACTTCGAGTTGACAAGATGAAAAGAAAGATCTTGGGATTTGTGTTAAACCGCTGCATTAATGTCTGTCTCTCTTCTGGTGGAGTAGAGCCATCAAGACGCATGTAGGTATAACCGTATAAATTAATGAAAGCCTCCAAGATGTCAAGCATCTTGGTCATTTGCGTGAATATCAACGCTCTGTGACCTCCAAATTTTAGTTTTCTCAGCAACATAGCCAGCTCCTGCAGCTTACCACAATCAAACTGTATCAGCCGCCTATCTGGAAAATATACTTGTCTCCTAACAATCGCAGGTCTAATCGGAGACAGAAGAGGTGACAATAAATCTGCAACTTTCTCCTTGTACGATGGACTAAGGAAAACTGGGGAGCCGCGTTTGCTGCACCAGCACGCAGGTGAAGGCACTCGTGCAGCCGGAATCGCAAATGTGAAAGCTTCAACTAACTCAATTACCTTCTGAAAACGCTCGATTGGTGAAAGAACTATGTCAGCAAGCATTGAGGAATACATGTACGATGAACGATTAGCTTTAAGATGGTGTACATCATCAAGAGGACCCTTAATGGTTAAAAGAGTCCTTAGAGATGTAGAGTAAACAGGCTTTCTCTGGCATCTCAAAGAATTCCACCATGCAATGGCTGCTGCCCGATCCTTAGTTTCTTTAACCCTCTCCTCAAAGACAGCCTTTCGAATTTCTTCAAAAATATTTGTCCCTTGCAGATTTTTGCGGCTTATCAGAGGGATTGCTTCTGGATTTTCCTCCAAGTCCACGCGCTGCTTGATTAAATCTGAGGGTGTTGAAATAGCTTTGATCTCATCCCCTTCCCAAGCAGCCATAGAAAAATCAAGATGTGTGAATAAGAATCCCAGAGCCTCAAGATCAACCTTGGCAAATGGACTTTCCAATAGCAGAGAACAGATTGTCGAACTCAACTGCACATCAATGCCAGCCATATCAAAAGAACTTACAATAGGCCGACCCTCAAAGAGGTCAGGATGATTACAAACTTTCCGCAGTTGCATTATGATACTTATCATCCCAAAAAAGCTTCCACTGTTCAGTGTCGCCTGTGTTTCTGTGCTTGCTATGAAATCTTCATACAAGTTGCGCTGCCTCTTAGACAGTCTACAGAAAATAACATGCTCATGTTTCTGAGGAAGTTGCTTCTCCACATCCCTTTTTAGGCGCCGCAGAAGGAAAGGACGGAGGACATTATGTAAGCGATCA